GCAGGAGCAGCAGTCACTTGTGTGCTCCCATGCTGTTCAAACCTCAAGGAGTGCCCGGCGGTATTGGTGCTCCTTGCGGGCACCCCACTGCCAGAACGTGCTGTGGATGCCGGGTCGGTTAGTGCGGCTAAGCTGGCAGCAGCAGCAGCAGCAGCAGCAGCAGCGGCAGCAGCAGCATTGAATGAAGCCAGAGGTGGCTTTAGAGTCGACTCAGAAATCAGCTCGGAGTGCCAGCAGGTGTCTGGCTCCCCGCTGCCAGAATGTGCCGTGGGAACGGCGTCCGGTGCTACGGTGAAGCCGGCAGCAGCAGCAGCAGCAGCAGCACTGAGAAATCGGTTATGCAAATGCTTTGGCAGAGCCGGGTGGCAGACAAATCGGCTGGGCGAGTGCTTGGGTAGAGCTGGGTGGTTGTGGCGGCGGCAGCGGTAGGTGACTTGAAAGACGTGCGGTGAGAGGGGCGCATGGCAGTCGATGTCGATGGTCTTCTTGGCTGGGCAGCAAGCGGAGAACTTGGAGCGAATGCACTCGTAGTAGCACCTGCAGAGAGTTTGTAGCAATCGGCAAGTGTCAACAGGAGTCAACAGGAGTCAATGGAGGAGTCAACAGAAGACAACATCGATAGGAGTTAACAGGAGTCAACAAGATCAACATGAGTCAACAGAAGTCAACAGAAGTCAACAGGAATCAACAGGATTCAAAGGGTGTCAACAGAAGGGAACTCAAAAGTACGTCTCAAGAGAGCATCTCACATCTCCCTACATGGCAATACGACCACACCTGATGGCACTACGGCCCTACCTGATGGCGCTACAGCCCTACCTGATGGTGCTACAGCCATACCTGATGGTGTTACAGCCTTAGCCGATGGTGCTACAGCCATACCTGATGGTGCTACAGCCCTACCTGATGGTGCTACAGCCCTACCTGATGGTGCTACAGCCCTACCTGATGGTGCTACAACCCTACCTGATGGTGCTACAGCCCTACCTGATGGTGCTACAGCCCTATCTGATGGTGCTACAGCCCTGCCTGATGGTGCTGGAGCGCTGCACTTGCTTCTGGCCGTACTTGAGCCAGCTGTGCCCATCGGACCCCACCACCCACGCCACCATCTCATCCAACCTGGTCGACTCCAGCCCCCGCCGACCATACTCCGGCGCCTGGGAGAGCTGAAGGGTATCCAACTCCTGCTGGCTGTTAGCCAACCCCGGCTGGGAATGAGGCTCCGAATGAGGCTCCAGGTGGGAATGAGGCTTTGCCATGTCCTCCAACCCCTGCCACCCCGCTGCCTCGTGCGACTGGGAGCGATGAAGGCCATTCAACTCCTGGTGAGAGTGGGAGCAAGGCAGCTCCTGTTGAGAGAGGGAGCAAGGAAACTCCTGCGCAGCACTGCCACCCGGCACTGGCTCCACTTGAGGCATCCCAAACGGCGCTGCCTGCGAGTGTTGCCCTTCCGTTAGAGGCAATGTATGAGGCAACCGTGGCAGAAGAACCTCGGCCGCAGTGGGGCACCAGAGGCCGTGGAAATATCATGGCGCCAAGTGAGGAAACAACTCTTGAGATGATGCCTCTGAGACCACCCCTGCCATCATAGTAGCCCAGCTCTCAACCTACTACTAGCCGAAGAAAAAAGTTCCTTTCCTGCACCAATAATGTGCCAGACGCTACTACTAGTTAGGCCCTTGGGTGCCACCCGAGTCAGAGAGATTTCAAGAATCCAATCTCGAGCTTGTTGAAGTAACCAAAGCATCCTTCAACAGAGCTGAATCCAAGTTCGTATCTTGCAAGAGTCTCGCAAGGTGGGGGGAGGGGGAGGAAGGAAGGGGGGGAGGGGAGGGGAGAGGGGTGAAGCTGGGTGGCTACGCGGTGTGTACTGCATGACTAAGATGTGCCGGAGTGGCTAGCAACGACTTCGGAAACGACTCCTACAAGAAGAATCGTTTCTTGGAGAATCCAAGCCACTCGTCTACCAGCAATGCTGCTTGAAACAGCCGGGGATGGTTCATTCCATCGACTTGGAAAGAAACAAACCCGCTCACGAAGAGAGAAATGGCTCTTTGCATTGGTGCACTGAAAGCGGTACACCCGCTGTACCCCACGCGACTCACCCTATGCACCCTGCGGGATTAACCCTCTGCACCCCGTGGGATTTACCCTCTGCAACCCATGGGATTCACCCTCTGCAACCCGCAGGATTCACCCTCTCCACCCTGCGGGACTCACCCTGTGCCCCGCGGGACTCACCCTTTGCACCCCGCAGGACTCACCCCTCTGTGCCCCGCGGGACTCACCTCACCCTCTCAAACTCTCACTCTCCCGAACTCACTCTCTCACCATCTAACCCTCTCACTCTCACTCACCCTTACCCTCTACGTCAGTTTTTGACGTCACATTTTCTAAAGTTTTCTAAACGGTCGAAATGTTTACACTTCGGTAACCTGATGTTAAAACCCCAGACGTCACGTTTTCACAAGTTTTCTAAACAGTCGAAATGTTTACACTCCGGTAACCTGATGTCAAAACCCCAGACGCCACGTTTCAACGCACTAGCACCCCTTGGCCTGAGCCGGCGAGCAATGCAGCAGCTTCATCTGTTCGCTTCACCTTCTGCCAGCCGCTCTGTTGTACTGTACTGCACTGTACAACAATACCCTCCAGAACAAGGGATACAGCCCCCCTCCCCACTTGCTTCTCACTGCACTTGCTTCTCACTGCACTTGCTTCTCACTGCACTTGTTTCTCACTGCACTTGCTTCTCACTGCACTTGTTTCTCACTGCACTTGCTTCTCACTACACTTGCTTCTCACTGCACTTGCTTTTCACTGCACTTGCTTCTCATTGCACTTGCTTTTCACTGCACTTGCTTCTCACTGCACTTGCTTCTCACTGCACTTGCTTCTCACTGCACTTGCTTCTCACTGCACTTGCTTCTCACTGCACTTGCTACTCACTGCACTTGCTTCTCGCTGCACTTGCTTTTTGCTGCACTTGCTTCTCACTGTACTTGCTTTTCATTACACTTACTTCTCACTGCGCTTGCTTCTTACTGCACTTGCTTCACACTGGACTTGCTTCTCGATGCACTTGCTTTTTATTGTTGTGTGATGTCATCATATGCTATCACATTCTGTCTGCCTCCCATCCCTTGTTTCAATTCGCATGTATGGTTTGACTGTGTGTGAAAGAATTTGTGTGGTGTGTGTTCTGGAGTTTGGGAATGTGTTTTGTTTTATTTTGCTTGAGCAGGTATTTTGTGATAGATCTTGAGAAGATCTTTCCGACGCAACAAGAATCACTTCAATCGGAGCAAGAACGCGAAAGCTATGAAGATTCGAAGTTCATGAGCTTGCGTTACAATTGTGGCGGTTACAAAGTGAAGTTGTGGGGTGACTCTATATGGAATTGGGACCTTTGGGGTTGGGAAAATTTGTCACTCTACTGTAACAGCTGCAAATTGGTTGGGAACAACCAAGCTAGGTTGGCAAGGGTGGCCAACTTGGTTGGATTGGTTGGGAAGGGACAAATGTCAAAGTTGGGGTTCCTATAGGGAGGGAATCTTTGTGCTTATGGGGTTTCCTTGGTTGGAGACTCTCTTGGGACCTTCCCTCTCATCCCTCTCTTCCATCCCAACCTTTCTCTTGCTCCTCTAATTCCTTGTGAGATTCTTGAACTTTGATTGAACTTTTGAGATTGAGTTAAGTTCTCCTCCTACAGCTTACCCCCCAGTGCGTCGAAAGTCATAGCGTCGCGAGTACTCCATCAATCGACGTGATTCAAATTGAGAGTGGTAGCTAACAAGCTAACATTATAAGCTACAACATATCCGAGTTTCACAACATTCCAACAGCTAGGTTTTCGTCGACGTCGTTTCTTGTAAAGACGACTTTTCTGTCCAGAATTTCGGATTTATATTTTTGAGTAATTCTAGCTCCTAAGTTCACCTAGACTCCGTCCTTAATCCTAACAAGTGGTATCAGAGCGATATTGAGGACATTGAGAGGAGTCTACAGAAGTTTGAAGACCCTTCTAGACCCACCATGGCCTGTGGGCGTGCCTAAGTGGTGTTCTAAAGGTTGGATGTGACTTCCGCTAAGGGGAAACTCTGCCGAAATTTCGTGGACGCAGACACTTGTGAAAATATCGAGGGAGCTGAGTGTGGACAGAAAAGGGGAGCTGAAATTTGTCATTTCTCAAGGAGAAGATGAATGAGAGGGGAGGAGATGCTAATGGAAGAGGAGCTGTAGCTGAGAAGACAAGTGAGCCGCCGCCATCAAAAGTTGAAGCTTTGGATGGCTCCAACTATGAGGAATGGAGCGGACGGATGAGGAGTGCCTTCAAACGCTACAAGCTACTGAAGATTGCTGTTGGGCAGGAGAAGATGCCGGAAGAAGGAGAAGCACGTGAACGGTGGATTGAGAAAAGCGCGGTGCTTTTCGACCTCATCTTTCAATCGGTCAACAAGGAGATGTTCGAGCACATCAAGGATCTTGTGGAAGCGGATGATTCGGGTCCAAGGGCGTGGAAACTACCACGCGATGTGATTCAGCCCAACACTCTCCCGATGGTGATCGTGCTCGAGAAGGAACTTGCTGCCATCTCCATGCGACCAGGGGACGATGTGAAGCCGGTCCTTGACAAGATCAAGGACACCTATGCAAGGATGGCAGCAGCGGGCAGCAGTGTATCTCAGCTGCAGCAGTGCACCAAGATCATCTCGGTGTTGGACAACTCTTGGGACAACCTCATCCCCACCCTCAACTCTCAGCAAGATCAATGGACACCTGAGTGGCTAAGGCAGCAGATTCTGCAGGAGGACTTCCGCAGACGCCATGTGGGAGGCGGTGCTACCACTAAGACTGCTGAGGGGTATGGAGCTGCAGGGCGCGGCAGAGGAAGAGGGGGTTGGAGAGGTCGAGGCCATGGGAGGAGCTTTGGCAGAGGTAGAGGCCGAGGTGACTATAATGAGGGGCATGGGAGCTCCGGTGGCAGGGGGAGTACCAGAATGGAGGGCACCTGCTGGTACTGCAAGAAGGTCGGGCATCCTTGGTTCAAGTGCTTCAGCAAGCCGGAGGGATGGGCACCTCCAGGCATGAAGCCGCCCAGTGGTGAACGCGCACAAGGTGGCGCTGTGCAAGGCTCAGGTGCACAAGGTGAAGGTGCACAAGGTAATGCCTATCCTGGGATGTTTCTCATGGTTGAGGATGTGCATGGGCATGAGGGTGATGTGGGATCTGTGGGAAAGGTTGTGATGCACCCTCTCACGCACTGGGTAATTGACTCAGGTTGCACCAGTCACATGACCCCATGGGCAGATTTGCTTGATGAGGTAAAACCCCCTGGGAAGATTAAGTATGTGGCAGCAGCGTCAGGTGCTTTGCTCCCTGTCATTGGTGTTGGGAATGCCAAGGTTAAGGGAGCTAATGGGGAGCTTGTGGGGCTTGGGAATGTTCTGTTGGTTAAAGGCTTGTCTGCTAACCTTCTCTCTGTGCGGCGACTGCAGAAGAGCAAGGCCGAAGTGACCTTTGGACCAACCAACTGCCGTGCTAAGCTTGGGAAGAAGGTACTGTGGAGTCAGGAAGAAGAGACCAGCTGCATCAAGGACCTGTGGCAGCTGCCCATCATCCATTGGAATGGGAAGACTCCAACAGCAGCAACGGCAGCAGTGGCAAAGGCAACAGTAGGAGGAGATGCAACTGCACCGACTGATGGGGTCCTGGAAGCAGTCAAGAAAGTGCAGCAGCAGCAGACACATGGTGAGGTGCTTGCTGGTGTGGATGCGAGTGTGGCACGGGGGTTTCAGCAGACAAAAGGGAAGGACTATGATGAGGTGTTTGCTCCTGTGGGAAAAGGAACAACATTGAGGGTGCTGTTGGCGATAGCTGCACTCCTGGGATGGAAGATACGGCAGATGGACATTGTGACTACCTTTCTGAATGGGATCATTCTGGAGGAGGTGTACATGAAGCAGCCAGAGGGGCTGGATGATGGGAGCGGCAGGGTCTGCAGGCTGAAGAAGGCCATCTATGGCCTTAAGCAGGCGCCTCGTGCATGGTATCACAAGTTGGAGGAGGCGCTGTTGGCTGGGGGTTTCAAGAAGAGTGAGTGTGACCCCAGCCTGTTCTTGTTGCAGGAGAAGGATGAAATCCTCATGCTCTTGGTGTACGTGGATGATATCCTTCTCTTTTCTGCATCAACTGCTCTGCTGGACAGCGCAGAGCAGATGCTGGAGATGCAGTTCAAGTGTTCCAAGATGGGTGAGGTGACGTACTACTTGGGAATGCATGTGGAGAGAGATGTGGAAAAGGGTGTGCTGAGGTTGCACCAGAAGAAGTACTGTGAGGGGCTGGCTGAGAAGTATGGGCTGCAAGATGGGGGAAAGCCAGCAACACCACTACCTTCGGGGTTTACTGTGGAGCCATGTGCTGATGAGGAGGTAGTGGGTGAGAGTGACAGGAAGCTGTTTCATTCGATGGTTGGGTTGCTGAATTATGCTGCAAATCATACACGGCCTGACATTGCATTTGCTACATCACGGTTGGCTAGTGTGGTCTCACGCCCTAGTCATGAGCAGCTGGAAGCGGCCAAGAGGTTGGTCCCCTATGTGAGCGCTACGGCATCAGTAGGATTGGAGTACAGTGGAGTGAGGCAGCGGTTGCAGAGAGGTGCTGCAGATGTGAAGAGTGGTGAGATGCTCTTGAGTTGCTATACTGACGCTAGCTTCAACTCAGTGAAAGCGGATGGCACCAGCATTGGGGGTTATGTGTGCTTGCTAGGAGGTGGTGCTGTGAGCTGGCGCAGCAAGAAGCAGAATGAGGTGGGATTGTCCTCATGTGAGACTGAGTACATGGCCTTACACCATGGAGTCAAGGAAGTGGTGTGGCTGAGGCGTTTGTTGGAGGAGTTGGGAGTTGGTCAGGAGGAGCCGACAGTTGTGTTTTGTGACAATGAGTCTGCTGTGAAGCTCGCCAAGAATGCTTGTCTGCATGGGCTGACAAAACACATAAGGCCTAAGTGGCATTGGGTGAGGAGACTCCTTGATAAGGAGGTGCGGCTGGAGATAGTGAAGACCCATGAGCAGGCAGCAGATATTTTCACTAAGCGTCTGGCGGAGGCGGATCATTGGAAGGGCATGAAGCTTGCTGGGATGAGTGTGCATTGAGTATGCATGCTTGAGATGTTGGTATGGTGCATGATGGTTGGCAGCCAGAGGGGGAGATTGTTGTGTGATGTCATCATATGCTATCACATTCTGTCTGCCTCCCATCCCTTGTTTCAATTCGCATGTATAGTTTGACTGTGTGTGAAAGAATTTGTGTGGTGTGTGTTCTGGAGTTTGGGAATGTGTTTTATTTTATTTTTCTTGAGCAGGTATTTTGTGATAGATCTTGAGAAGATCTTTCCGACGCAACAAGAATCGCTTCAATCGGAGCAAGAACGTGAAAGCTATGAAGATTCGAAGTTCATGAGCTTGCGTTACAATTGCGGCGGTTACAAAGTGAAGTTGTGGGGTGACTCTATATGGAATTGGGACCTTTGGGGTTGGGAAAATTTGTCACTCTACTGTAACAGCTGCAAATTGGTTGGGAACAACCAAGCTAGGTTGGCAAGGGTGGCCAACTTGGTTGGATTGGTTGGGAAGGGACAAATGTCAAAGTTGGGGTTCCTATAGGGAGGGAATCTTTGTGCTTATGGGGTTTCCTTGGTTGGGGACTCTCTTGGGACCCTCCCTCTCATCCCTCTCTTCCATCCCAACCTTTCTCTTGCTCCTCTAATTCCTTGTGAGATTCTTGAACTTTGATTGAACTTTTGAGATTGAGTTAAGTTCTCCTCCTACAGCTTACCCCCCAGTGCGTCGAAAGCCATAGCGTCGCGAGTACTCCATCAATCGACGTGATTCAAATTGAGAGTGGTAGCTAACAATCTAACATTATAAGCTACAACATATCCGAGTTTCACAACATTCCAACGGCTAGGTTTTCGTCGACGTCGTTTCTTGTGAAGACGACTTTTCTGTCCAGAATTTCGGATTTATATTTTGAGTAATTCTAGCTCCTAAGTTCACCTAGACTCCGTCCTTAATCCTAACATTTATCGAACTTGCTTCTCATTGCACTTGCTTCTTACAGCACTTTCTTCTCACTGCACTTGCTTCTCACAGCACTTGTTTCTCACTCTACTTTCTTCTCACTGCACTTGCTTCTCACTGCACTTGCTTCGCACTACACTTGCTTCTCAATGCATTTGTTTCTCACTGCACTTGTTTCTCACTGCACTTGCTTCTCACAGCACTTGCTTCTCACTGCACTTGCTTTTCACTGCACTCCCAAGTCTGGAGCATTCCCGAGGGGGGGTGCTCATACTTGGACAGCTCGCGTTTGAGATGGGCCCACAAGTGCTCGATGGGGTTGAGATCAGGGGATGAAGAGGGCCACAGCAGGACTGAATATTCCTGCTCTGACAACCACTCCTGCACAAGGCGGGACTTGTGCTTGGAGTCATTGTCATCTTGGAAAATGACATCAGAGGTGGTAAGGTCATAGAGCTCAATGGTTTGTGCAAGCTCATCCTGCAAGATGCTTCGATACAGCTGCCCGTCCATACGACCGTCGATTTTACACATGTATCCATGGCCATCGTACGTCATACACCCCCATATCATAACAGACCCACCCCCATGCTTAACTGTTTGCTTTATGTGTTGCCCTTGAAGAGCCGCCCCGTCGCGAATCCATGCATACGTCTGGCCGTCACTAGAGAAACGGTTGATCTTGGTCTCATCAGACCAGACCACCCGTTTCCAGTCGTCCAAGGTCCAGTCAAGGTGGGCCTTGGCGAAATCTAGTCTGTCTCTGATGTTACGCGCGGAGAGATGTGGCTTCTTCGGTTGTTGGACGGCGACTAGGCCGGACTGTTTGAGGGCGTTGCGGGCTGCTCTGGGGCAGATCTTAATGCCATGGTCTGTTTCCAGTAGCTTTGCGGCTTCTACGCTGGTCTTCACCTCGCCAGAAGTCACAGCGCGAACAAGTATCCGCCTGTCACGTACTGAGAGCAGGCGCGGTCGGCCAGACCTCGGGACTGTTGGCCTAACCGCTAGGCTGCTGGCGCGCTGAGAGGCCTCTTGAGCGTATTTCTGAACTGTGCTCTTCCCTATCCCTAGCATTCTAGCGATCTGACGAAAGCTATGGCCGTGCCGAAGCAAGGTCGCGATCCTATCTTTCTGGCACGAAGAAACAGGCCGCATCGTTGCTAGGAGCCTGGCGCGGTTCACATTATGCCGTCGATAAAGACTAGGAGGCTAGGTTTGCGAGATCTGGAAATGCCGAGAGAAAATAGACCTAGACTCTAATCATGAGCTAATTGTCCGCATCGAGTCTCGCTAGCAAAATGGTGGACTCACTATAAGCAGTTCGATAAAACATACAACCCCATACAGCATAAGGACGCTTCACTTCTTAGTCACATGATACAATGGGTACTTGGGGATGAATGTACACTATACATGCTTAAAATACACAATCTTTAGACTTGTGTAGCTTTTCAAGCCCAATTAATTCCGTCGCTGTATCTTGCGAGCATCAGTCACTTTCCCACTCTCCCCCCCTCTATGCTACATTCCATTTCCCTCTTTAACACTGGGATAGCCGTGTCGAACCCCCTCTCTCTCCAGGGAGGGTACTTTGTATGCTTTCCCTGGGAAATATGGATATATGGAGCCTAACTCTCCAGATGACATCCATTCTTGTCCTAGTGGTTAGGACTGGTGACTTTATGAGATGGCATCAGAGCGATCCAGGGTTCGATTTCTAGTGTACACGCTATCCCAGCGGGGGTGTGTGTCGTGGCACTGGGATAGCCATGTCAAACATCCTCTCTCTCTAAGGAGGGTACTAGGGAGGCTTTCTTTGGGGAAGGTGAATATATGGAGCCTAACTCTTCTGAGGACATCCCTTCTTGTCCCAGTGGTTAGGACTGGTGACTTTATGGCACGCTTCCCCTCCTGCCTTCACTAGGTGCACAATTTCTATATGATATGCACCATCTGTCACGCATCACTAACCATGGCCAAGTGCACCTTTCGTCCCTTGCTCCTGTAATCAATTCCCCCTTCATATGAACCCCTCTTTCCCCCTCCTTTCACCTCCATTTCATTCTAGGTGCCCAATTTCTACATGAGAGATGCCATCTTGCGGGGATCAGTCACCATAGCCAAGTGCACCTCTCCTAGGGCCAAGCAAGCAGTGCAACCTCTACTCTCAATAAGTCACGAATGCATGAATGGGCATGAGTTCGCACCAGCAGGCAACGCATCTGCTTCATTCAAGGGCAGAATGCCTAGATTTGGTTGCAAAGCACACCATCCATGTTTAGCAGCGAAAAAAACGGGCAGAAGAATCAACACAAGTTGCAGCGCGAAATGGAAACGTCAGCGAAGTTGCGGATTCTGCTGTGATTTGACGGTCAAAATCCTCCCGATGAGGGCCTCAGAAGTCAGGCCAAAAAGGCCTGAAAGCCTGTATATCAGGGTGCTTTCTAGGGCATACCCTGATTTTTCAGGTTTTGATTTTTATCAAACCTGAAATTTATGTGTTCCCATTTTCTAAGGCCTGAAAAATGGTATGTTCTTGTTTTACCGAGCCTGATGAATCAGCCTTACTCGAAATTCGCCCTGAATCTGAATCTTATCTGCCAAGGCGAGCTAGAGCACGTGTGAGGGGTATGGCTGGTCCTTGACCAGAATCACGCAAGTTCGAGGCGAGGTGGGGCAGGTGTGAGGGGCGTGATTGGTCCTTGACAAAAAATGACGCAAGTTCCAGGCGAGCTAGAGCAGGTGTGAGGGGCGTGATTGGTCCTTGACCACAATCACGGAACTTCAAGGCGAGCTACAATAGGTGTGGGGGGCGTAATTGGTCCTTGACCAGAATCACACAAGTTCCAGGCGAGCTGGAGGAGGTATGAGGGGGTTGATTGGTCCTTAGTTAAAATCAGGCAGGAATCTGACGAGAAGAATTGTACGCAGTGAAGTCCGATCCGACCTAAGAATCAGAAACTACAAAAATGTAGGCCTGATAAGTCAGACTAAAAAAAACAATTGGCCTGAAAAAACATGCCACGCCCAAAACCCGACCCTGAAAAACATGGGCTCACATGGGCAACCATGAGCAATCAGCCTCCCTAAAACCAATCTAAGGGCCTGCTCCCGATCGAAATCCTCTCAGGTCTTGACAGTCGCAGGTGCGGCACGAAGCTGGCCCAGACCACAGCACTCAGCAAGGATTGGCCAATGACGCCTGGTTCATAAGTTTCGTCTCAGCGGATGATATGCCTCGTTAACAGCCGCTCCGCGCAGTTGTGAGCTAACATGGCCTGGAACACTCAAATTCAAATTGCATTTTACGTAACACATGGGCACTATATTTTTCTGGGCCACTGTTAAAACCACAGGCTAGAATAGCAAAGGGGGGGTGCACTTGAAAATCTTGTTTTTTTTAGGGTCAGAGGAAAGAGCCCACTTTCCAGTGGTACACCTACCCCCACGCGAAAAAACGAATGCTGCGATTTTGCAGCGCGAGGTGATTGGATGACGGTGCAAAGCGGATCGTAACCCCCCTGTTTAGCACCTCGCAACAAACTCAAGGGTCGCAATGCTCAACCAAAACTACGTCCTTGCGACAACCCGCCACCAGGCAGACTTTCAAGTGAGCCCCAGGTGTGCTATTGCTTTCGAAACGTAGAAGACCCCGTAACCTACGCTAGCTTAGAGCAGCTCCTGCCAAAATTCCACGCTCTAAAAAATCGTCCAGCGCGAGGACGAGCAGGAGTAGTCCCCCGCGTGCGCGTGACCCTTTAGAACCGAGAAAAGACCCCATCTCGTGCAGTAGCGGCGGCAATACGGGGTGGAAGCATTATAGGGAGCCAAACCGTCCCTATTGACAACCGTAGCTCGCGTAGACTATTAGGCAGCAAGCCACGGGTGCTTGTAACACGGCTAGCAACACGTGGGCAAGACCGCCCAGAAGTTAGCGTCCCTTTCGTGAAGCATAGTGAGCCCCTCCCTCGACTGCTCGTCGCCGTGGCCCGCCAGTTGCGCGAGAACTTAGTCCACGGCGTCGGGCAAACGGTTGGGAGAACGGTTGGGAGAACGGTTGGTTGAACGGTTGGGAGAACGAGGCGGGCGAGCCGGGGAAAGAGAGGGAGAGGAGAACGGAATGAGGGAGAGAGGAGAGTGGAAGGGGGAAAGCGAGTGGAATGAGGGGGAGATCGAGCGGAATGAGGGGGAGAGGAGAGCCAAATGAGGGGGAGAGGAGAGTGGAAAAGAGGGGGAGAGAAGAGCGGAATGGGGGGGAGAGGAGCGCGGAGTGGGGGGTAAAGGCGAGTGGAATGAAAGGGGGAGGAGAGGCAAATGAGGGGGAGAGGAGAGAGGAATGAGGAAGGCAGGGAGATAGGGGCAGGGGAATGGGGAAGGCAGGGAGAAAAGGGACAGGGAAATGTGGAGGGCAGGGAGAAAGGGGACAGGGAAAGGGGGAAGGCAGGAAGAGGGGCAACAAAGGGCAGGGAGAGGGGCAACAAAGGGAGGGAGAGGGGGAACAAAGGGCAGGGAAAGGGGGAACAAAGGGCAGGGAAAGGGGGAACAAAGGGCAGGGAAAGGGGGAACAAAGGGCAGGGAGAGGGGGAACAAAGGCCAGGGAGAGGGGGAACAAAAGGCCAGGAGAGGGGGAACAAAAGGCCAGGAGAGGGGGAACAAAAGGCCAGGAGAGGGGGAAAAAAAGGCCAGGAGAGGGGGAACAAAAGGCCAGGAGAGGGGGAACGAAAGGCAAGGAAATGGGGATCAAAAGGCTGGGAGAGTGGGAATGCTGAGTAGGAGGAAGGGTTTTAATCTTTGGGTTTCAAGATTGTACGGCTTTTTGTCTGCCCCGTCCTATTCCTTCCATTCTTTCCACTCCCTACTGTTCCCCCCCTCTCTGTTGCTCCCCTACTCTCTGCTGTTCCCCCCCTCTCTGCTGCTCCCCTGCTCTCTGCTGTTCCCCCCCTCTCTGCTGCTCCCCTACTCTCTGCTGTTCCCCCCCTCTCTGCTGCTCCCCTGCTCTCTGCTGTTCCCCCCCTCTCTGCTGCTGTTCCCCCCCTCTCTGCTGCTCCCCTACTCTCTGCTGTTCCCCCCCTCTCTGCTGCTCCCCTGCTCTCTGCTGTTCCCCCCCTCTCTGCTGTTCCCCCCCTCTCTGCTGCTCCCCTGCTCTCTGCTGTTCCCCCCCTCTCTGCTGCTCCCCTGCTCTCTGCTGTTCCCCCCCTCTCTGCTGCTCCCCTTCTCTCTGCTGTTCCCCCCCTCTCTGCTGTTCCCCCCCTCTCTGCTGTTCCCCTGCTCTCTGCCGTTCCCCCCCTCTCTGCTGTTCTTCCCCTCTCTCCTGTCCCCCCGGTATCTGCTGTCCCCCCGCTCTCTGCTGTACCCCTGCTCTCTGCTGTACCCCTGCTCTCTCCTGTCAAGCGTCCCATTGTCGTCGAGGCAAAGACCTCCTTTCCCTACCTCGCTACCCTCTCCCATCCTTTCCCCCCATCCTCCCTCCCATTTTCCCCACCCTGTCAAGCCTTTCCCCCATCCGCTACCCCTTACACTTATGGCCGGACTTTGGTTCCTCTTTAGGTCGCCGGTCTTGCCATCCCTTCTCCCCATCTGTCAATCACTTTCCCCTTCAACCCTATTGTTCACACCCTTGCTCAGGTGCTCTCCCATGGCCCTATGCTTCTACTCGTCACCCACCACTAACCCCCTATCCTTTACCCCCCCCTTTTCCAATCCATAATGGCACCCGTCCTTCGCAGTTCTGGAACTCAGGGTACCTGGGTCAGGTAGCTAAGGGAGTGCAAGTGCAAGTCGTTTTTAGTCAAAAGTCAGTTTTATTATGCTGCATACTACAGTGAATTAGGACAACAATAAGTACTTCCGTATACTCCTTGCTCCTAACATGCTCAACGTTGTTATTCTCATGACCAATACTATGAATAATACACTTGCATACGTGTTTATCAACATTTTCCATAGGGTGAGTTACGCTGTTTTGGATTCGGGTCTTTTGGCACGTACAGTTGGGCTCTTGCAACTCCTGGTTGTAGCGTGTTCGCGCTTGGCGCCCTGCCCTGTGTTTGCAGCTCATTTTGCTCCAAGTTGCGTCCCAACCCTGTACACATAAAACTTCGTGTGGGTTGAATCAACAAAAAGAACACGCCCCAGTGATCTCTTTCATTCTCAGTCGGAAATGTCGCGCGTGGATTTGGGGACCTCGTCGCACGCGTTCCGAATTCGCCCAACCTCCCGCAGGCGTGGATTATGGTGGGTTCGTTTCTGCCCAGTTGCCCAAAAAGTTCCCTGTCAATTTCGCTCTAGCAACCCAACTTTTTCAAAAGTGCCCCCACTTCAAGAGGGGCTCACTTGAAGCCCCCCTTTGCTATTTTAGCCTGTGGTTTTAAGACCCTGTCATTTTTTTAGTGATTTTTTATATACATCATAGGGGGATTACGGTATCAGCTGACCGCCAAGTATACAAATGAAATTCTAGACAAGATATCACAAGATAGCACAAGACAACTGTTGGTTGTTGCAAGCAACTGTACAAATGAAATTCGAGAAGCAGCAGACTACAAGACCAAACAAAAATGGGATGGAGAGAAATTGCACGGAGGTTGATCCAACTTCCCTGCAGCAAACTCATATCAGGGATTGGAATATTGGGCCATATATAGGAAAAGCGGTATCGCCTCTACCCAGCACGTCCCAGTTCTGGTATCCACGCGATCCTCATGCTCCCTGCCTGAGGGCAATGAGCCCTGCCTGTATGCACAATCGCAGCCCACCGCCCCCCCCAACTCTAAAGACAACCCGCTAGGTCTAAAGTTTGCACCATGCGTGTTCTCTTCAACGTAGCCGTCAGGGTTTCAGGATTGGGACCCTCGGCTCGGCACCTTCTTATCAGTCACTCCATTGCTCTGCTGCGTCATTTTAGAGTGAGCTTGCGTCGTATCTGCAACACCCATTCTCATTCTCACTCCGCCATCTGCAGCAGCACCAACCCAAGCCCCCCCTCAGTCCACCATCTGCAGCACCTTCACATCGCCCATGGAGTTGGCCGCCACCAGCAAGTTGGTGCCTTCCCGCCAGCACACGCTGCTCACAATGAGTCCACCTGTCTCACGACTCCCAACTCTCTCCTCCCACCCCCCCTTTCTCTCTCCCCCCTTGCACTCTCCCTCACTCCACCATCTGCAGCACCTTCACGTCACCCATGGAGTTGGCGGCCACCAGCGAGTTGGTGCCCTTGCGCCAGCACACGCTGCTCACAAAGTGCCCTGCATCGTCCCCCCCGGCCCTCCCCGTCACTGCATCCACGGCTCCAAACCGGTGGCACGCCATGGGCGCTGGCACGCTCTTGTGGTAGACGTATGCCTGGGATGGGGTGGTGAGGGGGGGGGGGGGGGGGGGGAATTGGGGGAAGGGGAAAGAAACTGTGAGGCTTAGACACACGAAGAAGCACGGCATCGACATTGTAAGTATGATGTCGCAATTATGATGTCGCAACAATGATGTCGCAACTATGAAGTTGCAGCGATGAAGTTGCAGCTACGACAATGCCATATACAATGCCCTATCAACCAGCCTCATTTGTCGCACTCACCGAGTTGTTCTCTGAGCCGCATGCGATGTAGCCGGACTCAGACACGGAAAGTCCAACGAAATTCTGAAGAAGGAACGAAGCAGGTGCATAAAAACACATGACGACAGACGGCGACGGTGAGAAGGGATGATAAGGGAGGACGAGTAAAAGCCTAGGCTGAAAAACAGGCAGACGAGTTTCCGTGTAGTAGTCGGGCAAAGCGTGTATAAGAAACAGAAAAAAAGAGGTGACTTGTGAGTGGACAAGAAGTCATACAAGAAACGGAAAAAAAGCATAGCCGAGGAGGAGAGGCAGGTCATTCAGCGAAAGAAGGCAATCAAGCTGGGCTACTACACCTATTCCGGGTTACGAGCCCCAGCAGGAACCTCAGTGGTATTGCGCTGGACGCTGACACCAGTGTGAGGGCGTCCGCGTACCTTCCTCCCTAAGTGAATGCTACATAAGAGACGGAAGGGGCGTGGAGCCTCAACCCCTCACCACTCCCCTTCCTCCCTTCCAGCCCCAACCACCCCGCACTGCAAACCCCTCCTCACCTTCTCATTCACGTGTCCAGACAATGTGAGCAGGCACGGCGCCAAGCCCCCTTGCCTCTGCTGCTGCTGGCTCCTCCCTCCAGCCACCGACCCGTCCCCGGCGCTCCCCAGCACGTCCCTCAAATCCCACACTCTCAGCGAGTTGTCCGTGGACGCTGACACGAGGGTGAGGGGGTCCGCGAAGGCCACGTAGGAGACGGCGCGGGAGTGGCCGGGGAGCGTGGCGAGCGGTGAGCGCGCCTTGCGCAGGTCAAAGAGCGCGAGCTTGAAGTCGGCGGAGCCGAGTGCGAGGATGTGCGACGAGGCCGGGGAGAAGTGCACGGAGCACACGTTGGCACGCGTGCGGATCGTGGCCACGCTGGCGTCCTGGGGAGGTGGGCAGGGGAGAGAGAGGGGGGAAGGGGGGGAGGGAGGGAAGGGAGCGACGGGGGCACAGCGAAGGAGAGGCATGGTGAGAAGAGGGCAAAACCAACATGTTGTAGCAGGGCTAGAGGAAGAGGCACGTCTTGAAGGCGCCTTGCGCAGGTCGAAGAGCACGAGCTTCAAGTCGGCGGAGCCCAGCGCGAGGAGAAGCGAGAAGGCCGGGGAGAAGTGCACGGAGCACACGTTGGCGCGCGTGCGGATCGTGGCCATGCTGGCGTCCTTTTGTTTGGTGGTGGTGGGGAGAAAGAACGGGGAGGGGGGGGGGGGGGGGGGGGGGGGAGGGGGGAGAGGGGGATGAGAAAGGCAATAGAGGTAAGCCTGCATAGAGGGAAGAAGTGGACAGAGCACACGTTGCTGGGGAGGGGACAGGTGTGGGTGGGGAGGGGGGGAAGGAGACGAAGAACTAGGCAGGTACGGAAAGGCTGGCGGTCAAAAGCGTCCTTAAGTCAAAGCCAAGTGGAAAAACAGCCTGAGAAAGTTTGAAGCCTCCTTCACCTGCTGCAGGCTCCAGATTCGCACGCAGCCATCGTCGCTGCCACTGGCGGCTAAGTGGGGTCGGAGGGCTTGCAGTGCACACTCACTCACCACTGGCAGTTCTGGTGCTGCTGCCAGACGGCTAGCTCACCTGCTGCAGGCTCCAGATTCGCACGCAGCCGTCGTCACTGCCACTGGCGAGCTTGGTGGGGTCGGTAGGGGCGCAGTGCACACTCCACACACGCCTCTCGTGCTCCCGGTACTCCGCTATCGCCTCGCCCACACACACGTCCCACACCTGACAGGCACACGGGGGGGGGGGGGGGGGTGGGGGGGAGGGGTGGAGTACAGCAGGAGAGAATATTGAGTCGACTCAGGGAATGGGTAAGACCGCAGTGCACTTTCCACATGCGCCTCTTGTGCTCCCGGTACTCCGCTATCGCCTCGCCCACACATACGTCCCACACCTGGAGGACAGGAGGGAGGGGTAGGTAGAGAGGGCAAGAGGTATGTTATAGGAGGTGGTGGGAGCATGATAGACACTCCACATGCGCGTCTTTGTGCTGGTGGTACTCCGATACGGCCTCTTCCACTGTCCACACATGCGTCCCACACCTGGGGATGGAGGGGAGGAGATGACGGCGGAGAGCCAAGAGCTCTTCAACCGACTGAAAGAGCCGGGGATCGGTGAGCAAAGCAATGACCATCGCAACTCGCCGAGGATCAGCGCTCTCTCACCTCTCAACTGCACTATGCCATACCATGCCATGACATGCCACACCATGCCACACCATGCCATGCCATGACATGCCACACCATGCCACACCATGCCATTCCATCCCATGCACCACCAGCCTCTGTGCTCACCTGCACACCGCCATCATAGTTGGACGAGGCGACGAGGCTCTTGACGAAGGGGTTCCAGCTGACGCAGCTGAGCTTCGACTCGCCCGCCATCTCTGCCACCGGGTACTGCAGCAACTCATCCTCATGCCCCTCATGCCCCTCATGCCCCTCTGATCCTTTTCTCACCCCCCCCCTCCTCCCCCTTCTCCCCCTCCTCCCCCCCCTCCCCCTCCTCTCCCTCCTCCGTGCCCTCCCCATCCTTTCCTCTTCCCTTCCGCTCCTTCCCAGTTTGCCCTCCTCCCCTCTTCGTGACCCACCCCCCCCTCCTCCTCCCCTCCCTCCTCCATGCCCTCCCCCTCTTCCTTCACACGCCCCTCTCTCTCAGCCGCAGCTCGCAGCACGCTATTGCAGTCGAACACCTTGATGCGTTTGAACACACCCGCCGTGGCAAAGAACTCGCCATCCCGGTCGAAAGCCACCGAGCACACCATGTCTGCCGAGCCTAGCAGGTCGCCTCGGCGCAGCGCTGCCCGAACCTCCAGCTTGCCGAAGCTGGTGTAGCGGGAGAGGCCCTCAAAGAGTTGCCCCAGCCAAGGCTGCGGCGGGCGGGTGGTGACTGGTGCAGGTGCTGCTGCTGCTGCAGGCACTGCTGCGGGTGCCACTGCTACTGCTGCTGCTGGCTCTGCTTGTGCTGCCGGTAATGAATCTGCTTGTGCTGCTCGTGCAGTTGCTGCTGGCGCAGTCGGCTCACTTAATGATTCTGGTGGTGACAACCTTGCAGCAAGTAAAGAATCAGGTAGGGCAGCGGCAGAGAAGGATTCCCGAGGTGCAGAAGGTGCTTCTAGCCCGTGCCTCACGAGCTCCGAAGCTCCCAGCACTGCTCCCCGACCACCTAACCCACCTCCTCCTACCTCCACTTCCTCCGTATCAACTGAGAACAGAGTCCCATGAGTGCCCCGCGTCGTGGCCGGTACATTCAGCATGCTGCTATCAACCACACCACCACCACCACCACCAGCGCCAATGCCACCAGACCAGCCCCCTCCCCCACCGGACGAGCTCTGCTGCTGCCAGCTGTGCTGCTGTGCCGCTGCTGCTGCTGCCGCACGCTGCCACACAGGGTGAGGGGCTGCGCTCCTCTCACCTCCCAACTCCTGCTTGCCTCCGTTCGACCTTCTCGCCTCCATATAAGGCACACCTCCCATCCCAGCATGGCCCGTGGCTGTGCCCTCACCCTCCTGCATGGCCATACCCCCCTGCTCCCTGCTGCTGCTGGTGCCACGTCCGCCCAACGCTCTCTGCTTGCTGCTGCCTATCGCCTCACTGCCATCCCCTCCCATGTTGCTGGCGTGCCGCTTCCCCCCCACACGGGAAGCAGGGGCAGCGCCCAGCCGAGGAGCAGCAGGCCCTGCACCACCGTCGCTACCAGCGCCATCACCAGCCGCAGCGGCCACGTCATGCGCAGACGACGCCCTTAGACTCACATCCATACTAGGAGCCACACCAGCAGCGGCTGCGGCTGCAGCTGTGTCTGTGGCTGCAGTTGTGGCTGTGGCTGTGCCCGTGACTGTGGCTGTGGCTGTGGCTGTGGCTGTGGCTGCAGGAGGAGCAACGGCAGCACCTCCTGCCATCCTCCCCGCTACACAATCCCCAGCTTCATCACCACCCCGTACACTGCCACTCCCACCTTCCCCACCAGCACCAGCAGAGCTGCTCACTGCACCCCTCCTTACAGTGACATCTCGCCCCAGCCCCCTCACCTGTTCACGCACACAGCCCAGCCGCCCCCACACCTCTTGCATGTGGCCCTCCTCCGCCCCGTCCCCCTCCCTCCCGGCACCCCCCTCTCCTGTCCCCCCACCTGCCCCCACAGCTGCCCGTCCCCTGGCAGCCCAGTAGGGGAGGCCATCTTCTGACCCTCCTGAGTAAGTCGGAGCTTCATCTGCTGAGGCTTGCGCCTGATGCACATGCTGCTGCTGCTGCTGCTGCTGCTGCTGCTGCTGCTGCTGCTGCTGCTGCTGCCGGCCACTGCCTGCATGTGCACGTGCGTATGTATGTGCATGTGCATGTGCATGTGAGTCATGGGGGGGGGCTTGAGTGGTAAAAGCCCCCCCAGGCCCCATGGCCCACCGCCGCCTCAGCCACGCCTTGGCAGCCTCTGGAAGGTTCTGCCAAGCTTCCTCTGCGGCTGTAGCGGCGTCTGCTGCTGGAGCATCGCGAGTTACAGCCGGTGGAGCATCCGAAACAGTTGTGCTGCCCACTGCTACTGCTACCGCTACAGCCGGTTGTGCTGAGCCTGCTGCAGTACCAGCAGCAGCAGCCGCTGCTGTGTCCTTATCAGCTGCAGCAGCCAGAGGCAACGAGGAATTGCCAGGAGCACCAGCACCAGCAGCAGCAGCTATAGCCGCAGCTGTAGCAGCAGCATCTGCAGCGCCGTCCGCAGCACCATCACATGTGCGGGCACGGAGCGCCAGGTACGCCTCTTCCAGCTTGTCAAAGCGCTGGATCATGCGGTTCATTCGGCCCCCCAGCCGCCTCTCATACGCCACCCTTCTCCTCCGCTCCTCCTCCCTCTCCCTCGCCCCCTCGCTCCCCCCCTCCCTCTCCCGCGAGCTAGACCGCATGGGCACCGTGGCTCCTGACAGCGTTGGACTTCTCTCACTTCTCTGCTGCCCCCCCTGACTTGTCGGACCTTTCTTGCTTCTCTGGTTTCTCCAACCCGCACTCCCCTGCACCTGGGGGCTTTCAGACAGGGTTCCTGAGCCTGGCCCTCTCATCCGCGTTGACTTTGTTGACTTAGCTGACCTGGCGCAACAGCCAGACACTCCAACCTGTGCGCTCCCTCCTCTCCCTCCACCCCCTCTCCCTCCCTCAATTCCTCCTCCTCCTCCTTCCCTCTCTTTCCCAGCCCCAAGACGAAGCCGAGCACATTCCTCCCCTCCATGTCTCATGCCCTCTGACTGGGTTACCCCCCCAGATACCCCCCCAGATACCCCCCCCCCAGCGTCCTCCTCGATCCGCTGTCTCTGGCTGTGCCTCCACCCACCCCCACCACCGATCCTGCTTTCCCCCCTCGCCCCTCCACCACAGGGGAGACTGCTCATGCCACCATTGGCTCGTCTTGCACCACCTGAACTGCTTGCTTTCGCGGTGGCTGTGTTAGTGGCGTGGCCCTTGCTGATTGGCTGAGACAGCGCCAGCAGCAACTGCCTCCTCTCAGCCACCTCTGCCACGTCATCAGACAGCCCGTCCAGGTTGGCAGCCACCTGGCGCGACGTCTCCGCCTTCCCCTGCTGCACCCTCAGGAGAAAATCCAGGAGAACCTCGTTCTCCTCCTCCCTTTCCGCCAACTCCGCCTCTGTCAGCGCTTCACAACGAACCCTCTTGCACCCGCTTCTCGCCTCTCCCTCCCCTCCTCTCTCCTCTTCATCCTCCTCCTCCTCCTCGTCCACCTCTTTGCTTGGTCCATCTTCCCCATCGTTTCCCCTACCACCGTCAGCCTCATCAGTCATCTCCTCCCTCTGCTTCTGCCTTCTCGCTCGCTTCCTACTGCTTTGAGGCGCCTCAAAACTAAACTTCTGCCTTCTCGCTCGCTTCCTCCTGCTGTCAGCACTGCCTGTGGACGCGTGACCTGTTGACCCCTCGCCATGCAGCCCACCCTCCTCATCTTCCTCCTCCTCTTCTTCCTCTTCCTCCTCGCCTTCCTCCTGCTCATCCTCCTCTCCCTCCCTGCTACACCCTTCCTCACCCCACCCACCATCCGACTCCCCATCACTGGCTTCAACCATGGGTTCCTTGCCTGCTCTACACTGTCCGACCCCTTCCTCCCTTTCCTCTACTTCCTCCCCCTCTTCCCCCACTTCCCCCTCTCTCCCCACTTCCCCCTCTCTCCCCACTTCCCCCTCTCTCCCCACTTCCCCCTCTCTCCCCTCTTCCCCCTCTACCCCATCTCCGCCCTCCCCCCCCTCCTCCCCCTCGTCCCTTTCTTCCCCCTCCCCTGCCTCTGTGCCAGCATGCGCACCATCGCCTGCGAAAGCGCCAGTGCCTGCGAAAGCGCCAGTGCCTGCTGGTGAGGCTTGAAAACCCTCACAAATCGCCCCATCAGTGCCTGTGCGAGCAAGCACACTTTCACCAGCACCAACGTGCATGTCTGCATCTGCAGAAGCGCCCATGCCCGCACCCGCACCAACATCCACACCCTCATCCGCACCAACGCCCGTGCCTGCACCTGCACAAGCGCCCATTCCCTGGTCCTCCACATCCTTGCCAGGTGCCTTCTCAGCCGGCAGCTCCTTGCCAGGTGCCTTCTCAGCCGGCAGCTCCTTTCTAGGTGCCTTCTCAGCCGGCAGCTCCTTGCCAGGTGCCTTCTCAGCCGGCAGCTCCTTTCCAGGTGCCTTCTCAGCCGGCAGCTCCTTGCCAGGTGCCTTCTCAGCCGGCAGCTCCTTTCCAGGTGCCTTCTCAGCTGGTAGCTCCTTTCCAGGTGCCTTCTCAGCCGGCAGCTCCTTTCCAGGTGCCTTCTCAGCCGGCCGCGCCGCGCCCTCTTGTGCTTCGGATGGGTGGCGGGGCGAAAACGACACAGACAGCTGGCAGTGCGGGGAGGAAGCTGCGGAGGAAGCTTCTGCAGCGAGGCGAAGGAAGAGGCTGTTTGTGAGGACGTCCCTGGGGAAAAGCGGGATGAGGGTTTAGGGAGATGGGGGAAGAGGGATGAGGGTTTAGGGAGATGGGGAAAGAGGGATGAGGGTTTAGGGAGATGGGGGAAGCAAGCGGCATGGTGGAGTCAGCACATTTCGGCAGAGGCAGAAGGCGGCACCAGTGAAGAAGGTCATAAGAATTGGCACGGGCATACGTAGCAAACCAAAACAAGGCCTACTCCAACAACTACGTACCTCATGGCTGGTCGGCGTGAGGGCACGGGGTGCAGCAGGCAGAGGTAGACGGCATCCCTTGTGGGGAAGGAGAAATAACCTGCAAGAGCCTTTGATACATACGTCATGGCTGGTCGGCGTGAGGGTGCGGGGTGCAGCAGGCAGAGGCAGAAGGCGGCCCCAGTGGGGAAGGCCATGAGGAACGGCGTGGGCAGCACTCGGCTCCTCAGATCCTCCAGTGCGCTGCTGCGCTCCAATTGGTCGCTCAGGTGACACGTCAGCTGCAGGGGCAGGCAAGGTTCAGAGTGCCAGCAAGGATCAGAGGGGCACGGAATGGGAGACAGGACGGTAGGGTAGTACAAGAGAGGTGCTGGGAACTTGAGGCATGAAAGCTGTTGCGAAGCAGAAACAGATGGCTGAAAGACGCGCACACCATACAGAAGGGACGAGACAACCCGTGAAAGAATGGACGATCGATAATGGGACAAACGTGGAAGGAACGGGACAAACTCCAGAACTTATCCGAGAAACCCTTCTGTTCTCCCACCACCGTGCCTACCTCAAAGAACACAACCCCAAGCCGGTACACATCCGCTGCCATCTCTCTCCCTGCATCCACCGTACCCCCTCCCTTCCCCACCTCCAAGCCCCCTTCAGGTGCCGCGTAATACTCCCTCTCTCCCTCCTCCTCCTCCTCATCCACGCCCTCTCCCTCCCTCTCAACTCCTGCCAAACCAGCCCTACCCATCTCTACACCCTCTCTCCCATGTGACAGAGTCCCGCGCTTCTCCTCTCCGCTGCAGCCACTATCGGCGCCATCAGCATTGCAGCAGCAGGGCAGCAGCCAGTGCCGGGGCCCGAGCTTCACTCTGATCCTACTGGGGAGCAGCTGATCCCCCAGAGCCTCTCCCCTGTCATGCGCAGCCACCACAAGCCGGGCGATCTCACAGAAAACAGCCACAGCTTGCTCCCTCACAGCCACGGGGGGCACTGGCGGTATCACAAGGCGGTTGCCGAAAATACTTGCTGGTGTTCCCCCTGCTGCCGCCGTCTCACCCTCTCCCTGCTCTCTTGCTGATGGGGGCCCCCTCTGCTCATTCTGGGACTGGTGCTCGTGGCACAGCAGAAGGAAGCGCCTGAGGGAGAGCCTGTGCTCGTGGAGAGCTGGGCTGGACGCTCTAGGCTTCACCACTGCTTCTGCTGCTGCACCCGCTTCTGCCTCTGCTGCTACTCTTACTGCTGCTGCTTCCGCTGCTTCCGCTGCTTCCACTGCTTCTGCTGCTGGGTATCTTGCTTCCTCTCCTGCTGTTTCTTCTCTTGCCACTTGCGCCTGCTCCCGCTCCTCCCACTCCCACTCCTTCCTTTCTTCCATCTGCTCCCACTCCTCCTGCTCCTGCTGCTCCTCTCCCGCATGCTGCTGCTCCTCCTCTTGCTCCTCATCTGCCTCTTGCTCTTCCTGCTCCTCTTGCTGCTGCTGCTGCTGCTCCTCCTCCTCCTGATGCTGCTCATGCTGCTCTTGCCACTGTCGTTCGTGAGAGTGGGGGTTTGCAGCCCTGTCCTGCTCCTCTACATCCCTCCCTGCCCTCTCAAACCCTTCACTGCCGCGACCAACCTTCCCTTTCTGTGGATCCCTCACTTCAAGTCCCAGCCACAGCCCAACCATGCCTCCTCCCACCTGCTCCCTTCTAGCCACTTCTCCTTCACCCTGGCCCCCTTGACCCAGTTGACCCCGTTGACCCTGTTGACTCTGCTGACTCTCCTGTTCCCCATACTTTCCTCCCAGCCCCAGACCCAGGTCCATGCCTCGACAGCTGGCAGCAGCTGAAGGAGCGTCTGCAGTGAAGCAACGCGTTTCCAGAGCTTCAGAGGCGTGCAGCTGCCCTCTCTTCACATCCCACCCCCCCTCCAGACCTGGCCCTCCAACGGCCATATTCATGTCCAGCTGACTGCTCATGGCCACGGGCGCTTGGGCTTCCTCCAGACTGGCACACACTGCTGCAGCTGATGGTGATGCTGAAGGGCAGGCTGCGACTGTCAATGTTAGGCAGGCACCCACTCCAGATGCGGGAAGTACCATGCCACTGGCACACACGCTTCCGCCTGAATCCCCCCCTTTCAGTGCTGCGGCGTTTTCAGCCTGAGGTGCCTCTCGCCACATGTGTGGTGCATCAAGGCACATGTGTGGTGCATCAAGGCACATGTGTGGTGCATCAAGGCACATGTGTGGTGCATCAAGGCACATGTGTGGTGCATCAAGGCACATGTGTGGTGCATCAAGGCACATGTGTGGTGCATCAAGGCACATGTGTGGTGCATCAAGGCACATGTCTGGTGCCATGGCATTCATGTCCAACAGTGGTAGGTGCGCCCCTGGCCTGGCAACAGACGCACTTGCCTCACCCAGCCCATCACAGACGCCATCAGCAGCAGCAGCAGCAGCCTCGGCACCATAATCATCACCGTCAGCAGCGAAGCCATAACCATTATCAGCGCCTGCAGCACCATCGCCCTCTCCATCCGCTCCTCCCTCCCCTTGCTGCACTTCATTCAAGTCAAACACTTGCCGCCACTGCTCGCCCCCACCCCCTTCACTCTTTCTCTGCTCAGCACCCTCGTCCCCACCGCCGGCACCAGCCACTACCCCTTCCCCACTACCTCTTCCCCTTTCCGCCTCGCCCCCTCCACTCCCGAGTTCCCTAGGGTCGCCCTCTTGAAAGCTTTCCCAGCTTTCCCCTTCCTCGCCCATGTCAAAATCAACCTCAGACCCCAACCTCACCGCATCTCCATTCTGAAAGTCACCCTCCACCGCCCCAGCAGCTTCGGCTCCACCCAAAGCTGCGCCATCAGCAGCAGCAGCAGCAGCAGCAGCAGCACCTGCAGCAGCCTCTTTGAGCCCCTCCCCTCGTTCGCCTCCCACCAATTCCCCCACCTCTCCTTGCTTCCCTCGCTCCTCGTCCACCTCATCTCTCACATTCTCTGCTCGCTCTCCTCCCAACACAGAGGCCAGCTGCTCTTCCGTCGCACCCGTGGTCTCACCGTGCTGCTGCACAGCACTAGAGCACCCGCCCACTTGCTCCGATTCCTCCTCTCCTCTCCTCTCCTGTCCCTCATCACCCTTCTCCTCCTTTGCTCCTTCCTTCGTCTCTATTAGTCCCTCAATTTCTCTCCTCTCTTGCTCCCCCCGCTGCTCTTCCCCCTGCTGCCCCACCTGCTCTTCCCCGGGCTCTTTCATCTCCCCATCTCCCTCCTGCTCTCCCCCCTTCTTTCTCCTCTCCTGATCTCCCTCCCGCTCTCCCTCCTGCTCCCCTTCCTCCTCTCTCACCTCCCCACCCCCCTCCTGCTCGCCCCCCTCGCGCCTGGCCTTCTCAGCGAGCTCCATGGCGAGCAGCTGCTGCAGCTGGTACTGCTCGAACTCAAACAGCTGCTGTTGTCGCTGCCGCAGGAAGAAAAACTCCCACTTGCGCCTCCGCTCCTCCCCCCCCTCCTCATCCTCCCCCTCCTCACCCCCATCACTCCCCTCCCTCCCCTCCTCTCCCTCCTCCCCTTCCCTCACCTCGTTCTCCCCTGCCCCGATCCGCTCCCCTTCATTTCCTTCCTGGGTCTCCAGCCCCCTCCTCTGCTGCTCACCGTCCGCGTCCCCCTCCCCTCGCGGCTGCTCCTCACCTTGCTCGCTCTCCTCTACTCTCTCCCCTTCCTCTCTTCCTTCCCCACCTTCCGTGACCTCCTCTCTCCCATCCTCCGCTGCATTCTCTCTCACACCCTCGCCCACTTCCTCTGCAACTCCCTCTGCTGTATCCCCTCTTTGCTCCTGAGGCCACACCGCATCCCCCTCCCCATCAGCACCTGATCCCACCGCTTCCCCATCATCACCACGCACTACCGCTTGCTGCAGCGCCGCAACTCCCAAATGCTGCATGCCTCCCACACGCAGCAGCGCCACATCTCCCACTTGCTCCCCTTCCTCTGCCTGCTCTTCACCCTCCTCACTGCCCTCCCCTTCCCCCAGCTGCCAGCGCTGCTGCTGCAGCTGCAGCTGTAGCCGCTGCATCCGTCGCATCCTCTCTTGCTGCAGCTGCAACAGCCGCTGCCTCAAATATTGCATCTGCATCTCCTCAGGTGAACTGTCCGCTACATCCGCTCCTACCTCCGCTCCTACCTCCGCTCCTACCTCCGCTGCTACATCCGTTGCCCCTGCTTCGTCATAACCCTCTTCCTCCCCTGCCATGCCCACTGCTGCTGCCTCCAAACCTTGGCGTTCCTCCCCCACGCCCCACTGCAGCTCCGTCTGACCTACTCCCCATCCCACGGGAATCGCTCCCTCTACCTGCTGCTGTCTTCTCACCCACTCCACCTCCTCCTGCTCCCTCTCCTCCTGCCCCTCGCCCCAACCCTGCTGCAACTCTTGCTGCGCCTCCCGCTCCTCCAGCTCCTCCTCTTGCTCCTGCTGCTCCTGCTGCTCCTGCTGCTCCTGCTGCTCCTGCTGCTCCTGCTGCTCCTGCTGCTCCTGCTGCTCCTGCTGCTCCTGCTGCTCCTGCGGCTCCTGCTGCTCCTGCTCCTCCGCCTGCTCCTGCTGCTGCTCCTCCTGCTGCTCCTCCTGCTGCTCCTGCTGCATTCCAGTCTCCTCCCCTTCCTCTCCCTCCCCTTGCCCTTGCCCTCCCTCCAGTAACCCTTGCTGCTGCTCCCACAGCCGCCATTGCTCCCACTCCCTCTGCGCCTCATCCTCGTTCCCCTCTGCCTCCCGCTCTAGCCCGCCAACCCCCTCTCCCTCCTCGCCCTGTTCCATATCTGGGGTGTCAGCTGGCGCTTCCTGCTGCTGCTCCTCCTCCCTTCCTTCTCCACCCTCCCATCCCAGCCCGTCTCGCTCCGGTCTCTGATGTGTCACTGCTTCTTCTTCTGCTGCTGCAGCCAGCATCATCTGCGGCTGTCCCTGCATCTCCTGCTGCTGCCGCTGCATCATCAGCCGCTGCTGCTGCTGCATGAACATCTGCAACGCCATCATTCTAGGGTCAAGCACCCCAGAGCCGCCCATCTCTAACCCGTCCATCCCTAAACCCCTCATCCAAGCAGCAGCAGCCGCAGCCGCAGCAGCAGCTCCAGGTGAAAGTCCAGGGTTCAAACCCGGCATCCCCGCCTGCTCGCCCTCATTTCCCTCGGTTTCCCATGCGGCATCTCCCTCTACGTCCAATTCATCTGGCATCCCCCTACTTGGGTGCACAGCCCGCTCCTCAGATGCCTCAGGCACACCATCCTCCTCTCCCAGCTGACTCTCCTCCCCTCGCTCTCCTCTATTCTCCATCGCCTCACCATGCAACACCACAATGTCCTCCTCTCTCACCTCCTCTCTCACCTCCTCTTTCTCCTCCCCTTTCTCCTGCTGTTCTGCCTCCTCCTCCGCCTCCTCCCCCTCCGCCTCAAGCCCGCTCCCCCTGCCACGCAGCTCCTCCTGCTCCTCACCTCTCCCTTCTGAGCGCTGCCGTCTGCAGCTCATTAACGCAATCCGCCCACCACCAGAAACAGCAGCCCCACCCGTAAGAGCAGCCCCAGCAGTAAAGGCAGCACCAGCACTACCACTCTCCATCCACAGGCTTGACGAAGGGTTTGTCCATGCGCCCGAGCCTGAAGCCGCTCCTGCTTCCCCTTCCTCCCTGCCATCCACCTCCATGCAGGAACCGCTTCCAACCGCACCATTCCCCACTGCACCACTCCCAATCCGACCCTCGTCTCCCTCGGTCCCGTTCTCATCACCCGCAACACCCTCCTCCTCTCCCCACTCCTCTTGCCCCAGCCCATTCCTCCCACCTGCACTGGCAGCAGCAGCAGCAGCAGCAGCCATGGCCTCCTGCTCGCCTCCTCTTTTCCTCTGGATTACAACCCAAGAGGGCGGGCCAGCACAGACCACAGGCGCCTCATCTTCATCACTCTGCACCTGCCCCTGCTGACCCACCTGCTGACGCAACTGCTGGCCCAACTGCTGCTGACCAGAACCTAGACTCCCTCCACCCTCCTGCCCCTGTTGCTGCTGCACCCAGGCTTGCCGGCTGTTGCTTTGAGACTGCGTGAGCGAGAACGAGCTCAGATGCCGCTGCCCCTGCTGCTCCTCCTGCTCCTCCTGCTCCTCCTGCTCCCCCGCCAGGCCCTGCTGTGCCTCGCCCACCCCGCTCCTCCGCTGCTCCGCCTCCCTCTGCTGCCGCATCAGCTGCTCTGACAGCGACACCTCCTTCCGCCGCCCCCTCATCGTCCTCAGCACCTGAGCCCTGCCCCCCACCCACACCCCTCGCCCCCCTGCCAACGCCGCCCCTCGCCCACGCCCTGACCCCCCGCCGCGTCCCCTGCCACTAGCCCCCCCCGCACCTGAGAACACTCCTGGGCCCCCTTGATCATTCACCTGAAGCTCGCTCTCGCTGCCGCCACTAGCAGGGCTGGCCTCCTCGGGATCCGACAGGGCACGTGGCATGGTGGGACGGGTAGTCTCTTCAGCACCGGACCACGGCTGTGATTCCAAGGGGAGAAACGGAGCGCAGTCAGGAGGGGGCGCCAGGGAAGCAGTGGGTGGGCAGGAAGGGGAAGGGCGGGTGGGTGGGAGGGCTGGACGCTCAGTGGGAGGCAAGACGGTGTTGCTCCTGGACACAGACCGAGACGTCGTCCAGGCAAAGTCTCCAGCCGCATGCCCCCCGTGACTGCTCCCGTCCCCTTCCATCTGTCCCCACTCCTCCTGCTGCTGCTCCCGCTTCTGTCCCACTACACGCCCAGCCTGTGCCACACCCCTGCCTCCCTCCGCCTGCCTGTGCATCTCCTGCCGTCGCATCTCCTCAATGTGATTCTGCCGCTCGGACCAGAACGCTGTCTCCGCCTCCGCCACATGCTCCCCATCGCCCCGCTGCTCGCCCCGCTCGCACCTCTCACTCCCCCTACTGCTACCGCCGACCAGCCCCGAGGCACTACCGCCAGCCAGCCCTGACCCGCCTCCCATTCCCGAGCTACCTGCAAGTTTAGACCCATAATCTAAGCCTGAGCCGCCCTCCTTCCCGAACCTGCTCGCACGCCCCGAGCCTGCACCGCCTCCCTTCCCAGGGCCGCCTCCCTGCCCTGTGCTGCCACTAGCGCTCCCAACGCGCCTCTGGTCGCCCTCTGGGCTGCCCAGCCGCTGCCGCTTCTTGGCTGCTGCCTTGGGGCCAGAGAGAAAGCCCCACCCGCTTTTCCCCCTCGCTGCGTTGCCTCTCCTAACGGCCCCGCCACTGCCCCCGCCACTGCCACCACTGCCACCTCCACCTCCGCCGCCACTGCTGCTGCTCCGTTTCCCAGAGAGATTCGACTGCCCTGGGCTGCCACCTTGCCCCGCCATTCTCCCCATCTTCCTAGCCGGAAAATCCCTCCCTCCCGGCCCATTCTCACAGCCCTCAGCCTCCTCTCGGCGCCCCCCCTCCTCACTCTCCATCGCGTCCCCGCGTGCTGCTGCTCCTCCTCTCCCCTGCGACGGTGACCTCTCCTCGCCGTCGCCGCTCACGCCTTGCTCCTGCAGCTCGGGCATCTGCTCCAGGCGAGCCACCCACTCGTGAATGTCCGCCCCACTGCCAGTGGAAGCGGTACCGGGACCAGCAGCAGGACTAGCGCCAGCACCAGCACCAGGACCAGGACCAGCACCAGCACCAGCGCCACCATCACTGCCCGCGTTAGCACCACCATCACCAGCGCTCGCACCACCAAACGCAATGCTCCGTCCTCTGTGCGCCTCCCCCCTCACACCATCGTTACCCGTCCTCACACTGCCGCCATCATCAGCGGAGACTGACACCCCGGAGCCGCCAGGAGCGCCGGGGTTTAAGCCTGCATTGTTGTTGATGGCCGCGGGGTTTATGCCCGCATCTGCCCCTCCCCACGTTCCTGCGAGATCCATCTGGGCTATAAACGCCTGCACGTTCTGCCCCCCCGACCGCAGGTAGTGCGCCAGCATCTGCTGCCGCTGCTGCTCCAGCGCCAGCTGATCCTTCCCTTGCTGCCGTGCAAACATCTGCTTGTCCCCTTGCTCCTCCTTCACTAAGCGCTCCTTCACATGCTGCTGCTGCTGCTGCTGCTGCTGCTGCTGCTGTTGTTGCTGTTGCCGACGCAACTGTTGATCATGCGAGTATGCAGCGCCCTTCGCCCCTCCTCCATCAAACGTCCCTGTTCCAGCCTCCCCACCGCCCCCCTTATGCTCACCACCTTGTACTATCACTTCCCTCGGCTCCTGCTTACCCTCGCCCCGCCGCTGCCACTGCTGCTGCCGCTGCTGCCACGCCTGCCTCCGGCTCGCCACAGGCTCATGCTGCTGCGCCAGCGGTGGCGTGGGAGGCTGCAAGTCTTTCTGCTGCTGCTGTTGCTGGTGATGATACTGCCGGCTCTGGCTGCTTCCCCCTCCTTGCCACCTCTGCTGACTCACTCTCGGGCTCTGCTCTAGCTGCTGCACCTGCTGCTCGCTCCCCCGCTCCTCCCCCGCCGCCTGCCACCCATCCACCGAACCAGTCCAGATCTCCGTGCCCCCTGCTTCCCTCCTCTGCTGACTCACTCCCGTACTCTGCTGCACCTGCTGAAGCCGCTGCTGCACCTGCTGCTGCCTCTCCGGCTCCTCTTCCGCCGCCTGCCACCCATCCACCGACCCAGTCCAGATCTCCGTGCCGCCCCCGCCGGCCCACAGCTCTCCCGACCCGCCTGTCAGCGCCACTTCAGCCACCGACGCCTCCCTCTGCCCCATGCTTCCTGATGCAGCCATTGCGTTGACCCTCCTAGCGTTGGCAAACCCCGGAGATGCGCCAAACGGCTGGTGAGGCTGCTGCGGCAGGGCGGCCAAGGGGCCGCTTCCACTGGAGAAGGAGCAGGTGCCGCGGGTGTCGGCAGACGAATGGGTGGGCAGAGTGGACGTGCCTAGGGGACCGTAACCGTAACGGTAACCGCGGCCGGCGATAGCTGTACCAGCCGCTCCTGCTGCTGCTGCTGCTGCTTGCGCAGCGGCAGCAGCGGCGCTGGCGGCGACAGCACCGCCGGCCTCGTCGAAGGAGGAGTGGGGGTTGTGCATGCCTGAGGAGGAGCGCAGGGAGAGCAGCGGCTTGGCGCCGCCGCTGGGGTTGAAGGAACCGTCGGGGCAGGAGGAGGCGCCCGGGCCTGAGTGCTCCGCCTGGCTGCCGCTATTCTGCAGAGGGGAGGGGGGAAGAGCGAGGATGCGAGGGTGAGAGGGGAATGGCTGCCATTGCGGAACGGTGTTTGCAGATACAATCCGGAAGATCGTGGTCGTGGTCCAGACGATGGAGGCAGTGCAAAACACGTGGGCGGGCAGCACTTACCTGCAGGCTCTCGGGCGATTTTTGAGGCGCCTCGAAGATGTTTTAGGCGCCTGAACGATCGACGAGGCAGTGCAGTGCACAGTGCAAAGCAAGTGGGCGGCGCGCACCTGCAGGCTCTCGGGCGCGTTGGAGACGAGCTGGATGCGGCGCCACACGTGCTGCCACATGTGAGTGACGTCCCGCTTGGTGACCGGCTTCACCAGATACTCCTCCGCCCCCGCCGCTATGCACTGCAGCACCGTCGACTGGTTGGAGTTGCCTGACATCACTGCCAGGTCAGCAACGGGCAGAGCCACACGTCAGATACAGAGAGTCACACGTCAGATACAGAGAGACGCACGTCAGAAACAGAAAGTCACACGCCAGAAACAGAGAGTAACATGCTGATGCACCGCGGCACACGCCAATACATAGACATACGCCAAACAAACGGAGCCACATCCCAGGTACTTTGATCCACACAGAAAAAACAACGGCGGACCATCACGTACTGATGATGGGGATGGCGTTGTAGTTGGAGTCAGCTCGAAGGATTCGCAGCAGCTGCAGCCCGTCCAGCCCCGGCATCATGAGATCCTGCACCGTGCAGCACCGCACAACATCGCACAAGACTGGAGGCAGTCAGTAACTGGAAAGTATCCAGAGGAAGCCGAAGCGGTTTCCAGAGCGTCTGGAGCACACACAGACACCCATCCGCGACTGCTGTGACAGTTCAGCGCTTGACGGATAAGGTCCGGCCAATCCGAGGAATCCGCAGAAGCTTACAACGAGGATGAGGTTGAATCCGTCCGGCCTCTCCTGCAGCACCCGGAGGGCCTCCATCCCTCCATCCGCCACCGTCACTGCGCACCACGTGGTCACCACACACAAACGTACTGTCAGATCACTAGAACCATGCAGAGCTCTTAAAGACACTCCAAGGACAAGCGAGTCGGTCAACTCATGTGACAATAAAGAGCGACGAAACGGTGGGTCGAACAGCGACGAAACGGTGGGCGGAACAGCGACCAGAGCTCAAGCAGCTCGGCATGCCAGCGTTCCATTCCAGTCTGCCGCGTCCACTAGATCTACTGGGTCAAAAATACCCAATCTTTATACGAAGACCCTACAGTTCTCGCATATAGAAACGACTGCACAGGTTGCACAGTCACTTTGCCGAACAGCCACTTCAGGCACGTAGCGTCTCCTTTCTTCGTAAAACAGCTCGCGAGGGGTCCAATGCCTAGAGCGTTCCGCTCGGATGCCAAGGCTATCAACGACGCCATCCCGAATCGCTATCTCGTCGCTCCCCCGCAGTTCCTCAGTACCCTGTAATTGCGTCAACTTATGCTCCTCTTGCCGCGTTACAGCCTCCTACCTAGTCCTTCATAAGCTCGCTCGTACCTCCTCCTCCGACTGCTTAGTGCCAATCCTAACGCATTCTTAGCGCTCCTAACGTGCCGTTACAACTTTCCAGTAATTCGCTGGCACTTAGAGCGCGACTTAAACTTTCCTAACGTGCTTTCATACGAATAGCAACCTATCGCCAAGCACTTAGTCACCTTGATAGCCACATCTTCGGAACTGATTTCCGACGACTAGTCGCGCGAGACGTTCGTCGTCCACCACTAGGACATGGACATCCGATGGCGATATCAACGGCATCCCCCCTTTTGAGTCGACTCAAAAACAGTTAGTCACCTTGATAGCCGCATCTTCGGAACTGATTTCCGACGACTAGCCGCGAGAGCCGCTCGTCGTCCACCACTAGGACGTGGACGTCTGACGGCGATATCAACGGCATCCCCCCTGCTGCCGCTGCACCGGCTCCGGATCCCCCACTGCCTGACGTCAGCATTCCATCTTGTACTGGACTGGAAGGATCCATGGTGACACAACTGACTGAATCTAGGAGAGGATCTTAAATCTGCTGACGAGGAGTATCTAATTGGGCACGAAACCAGCATAGTGAGTCGGAATATCTACAGCAACGCAAACCCTAGATTGAAAGGCTTCTTCGGCTGAAAAGACCCCACAGTCCGACGCTCTGTGCATCGGGAGCGCGGAGTAAGCCTTCACGCAAAAATCGAAGAGCTAGTCCTGGAGCCGACTCTTAGCCAAACGGACTGCCGGACATAAATTTTAAACCCGACAGGCCTGTTAAGGCAAAAACGAAGGTCTAGAACGATACAGTTGTTGTCCCTAACGCCATCAGCTTGAGTCTAGGAATAGGCAAGCACCCTGTATGCGGCCAAAACAGCTCCTGTGGAGAGCTAGTGAGTGAGAAAAGCCAGGGTTTGGTGCTTGCCATCGCTTCCCTAACCCAAGCCAGCCCAGACCCGAACACAGGTTTGGAGCAGAAGGAGCAGGTTTGGTTGGTTTGGTTTGGAGCCTGTTGCTTCATGGCATGGTCCAGGTATGGTTGTGGTTTGGTGCAGCACGTTTCAGTACGATTAGTACGGCCAGATAAGGTTCTCTATGGTTTCGTTTTTTTCTAAACGGTGCAGAAAGGTTCTCTTAGCGGTGAACTCTTGTGGCGCTGAGGGTGAGGGAGGGAGCATGCATGAACTCTGACTTCGTTCTTTCTTCTTCTGCCCCTGTAAAAAGGAATGGATGGAAGGGAACCTAGGGCTTGCCGCTAGGACGATGGTGGTTGGCGGAGGCAACTAGGGTTTGCTTTTCTTCGGTAGAAAGTTTCGCAAAAGTGCACAATATCAAGCACCTGTGAAATATCTCAAACCCTCACCGACGATGATCGACAAAAGATCCTGACCTCAGGAAATTGAGGGCAGATGCGTCACGTGAATCTCGGTTCAAGTTGCGCTTGAATCACGTGACAGAATTTTTAGCTGGCTGCTGATTGGTGTTCAGAGGTTCCGAATTGTGGTGCGCTGTCCAGCACGTGAACACAATTGCAATTTCGACGGTTTACCTTCTTGTTTGCCGTATACGAGGCACACACCACCAGGCCTCTCGCTAAAAAGGCAATTACCCTTAATGTCTAGAAATTAAGTGTTGTTTTGGGCTGGATTCCATTTTTTTGGGTTGCATAGCAACCCTATAGATGTGGTATGATATTTTGGGGCACCAATTTATAAGATCTATCAAGTTTTCGCTTTTTTCAGAGTGAATTACCTATGCAATATTGATTGCATATAATATCCAAAATATCATTCCAAATTTTGCTTTTGCCGTAATACCGTCTTCATTGTCTAAGTGATATTTAGTAAATCAAAAAAACAAATTCTCAACCCTCATATTTTATACCTCAAATAACTCAATAACTCATCACCTTGATGTGCGCCCCAAGTGTGATATGCTATTCTAGCTTGTGCATTTAAAACGCACAATAAATTACATGCAACCACCTTCTATATCGGTTGCCACAAACGTGTATATTCCACCACCAGAAAAATAAGTTACATACACGTCAGATACGAACACCGGATGCGCCAACTTATGGAAGCTATTATACATTTCCATCGTCGATAATTACGGCGGACGGAAAATCAGGGGGGCGAAACAGTCTCGAGCAAATATATACGTGGGAATAAAAACAGAAAATACGCATGAAATGAAGGAAAAAAAATACACGTCCAACATGTAATGCATGACTAACACGATTATGGTGCATGCATCTAAGGGAATACACGAATGTTTTCATATTGCAGCCGAGATTTACATGTACACTTTGGGAGCAAAGCTGTCAAATTGACAACGACAATCTCAAACTGGGTGTAGCACTTAGATGCATATATGCACCCCGCCCTGATGCACGCACACCAAAACTACGCATGTGCACCCGACAAATTGCAACTGGGCGCGCAAACAGCGTGCCAACAAACACACACGAGGAGTCAGACACAAAAACCAAAACAATGACGCATGCACCAAGGAGGATACACGAATGCTTCCATGCTACAGTGCAGCCGAGGTTGACATATACACTTTGGGAGCAAAGCTGCCAAATTAACAACGACAATCTCAAGCTGCGTATAGCACGTGACATATATGCACCCCGCCCTGATGCACGCACACCAAAACGACGCATGTGCACCCGACAAATTGCAACAGAGCGCGCAAACACCGTGCGAACAGACACACACGAGGAGTTGGACACAAAACCCACGATAGTGACGCATGCACCAAGGAGGATACACGAATGCTTCCATGCTGCAGTGCAGCCGAGATTGACATGTACACTTTGGGAGCAAAGTTGCCAAATTGACAACAACAATCTCAAGTTGCGTGTAGCACTTGGCATATATGCAACCCGTCCTGATGCACGCACACCAAAACGACACATGTGCACCCGACAAATTGCAACAAAGCGCGCAAACAGCGTGCCAACAGACACACACCCGAGGAGTCGCAAATCACAATACGCACCATGCCAATGCTTCAAGCCAACACGAACAGTTGAAACAAGACCACACACAAGGATGGATATACAGAAACCCACATGGATATACAAAAACAAGAACAACACAATTTGAATATACACAAGGAAAACATGCAAGAAGGAGAAAAAGAAGAGCATCACACGCACTAGATCGAGTGCACACAAGCGATGCCTGGAGAAGAAAATTAGCCAAAAGATTGAATACGTTAATATACTTATCAGTTTTTGCTGACCAAGCTAACGCATTGACTCCCCCCCTCCCCCTCCCCCCCCCCTTATTTTCCCTGTTTCTCCCTCCCTCCTCCCCTCCTCCCCTTCTCCCCTCCTCCGCTCCCCCCCTCCCTCCTTCCCTCCCTCCCCTTTCAAGCCCAATTTGCGTCCCCCACCACCCCCCATCCGTCCCCTCACCCTCTTCCCTTCACCCTTATCCTCCTCGCTCTTGAATGTGACAGCGCACGTAGCTGTGATTGTAGAGCCTGGACAAAGGTTCAAATGAAGAATTGTTCAACAAGAATGAGTGTAACAAACTAAGTATGAAGGCTACATGATACACGTATGAGTGGGAGAAATGCATAGATGGTTACAAGGAGAAAGAAGGGCCTAAGAAATGAGAAGGATATATGGCAAAGGAATGAAGAGGAAACAATGCGGTGGAGAGACGAGAAGGGAACGACAAAATTGTTAGTGAGGGGAAGAGAAGGTAAGGACATTGGAAAGCGAAAGGCAAAGAGGAGAGAGGTAAAGTAAAGAGGGAGGAAAGAGGAGGGTTCAATCACCTATATCAAACCTTCAATAAAAACAGAAAGGGGGAAAAACCAGGAAGGGTAACGTGGAAAAGTGCACGATGCGGGCATGAATTTGCTTACAAGTGAGAATGGCGAGGTGCTGCTTGATGCGAAAAAGTCGTGAAAGAAACGAAATATGGAAGACAAGAAACCAGAAGACAGGGATAACGTCATTCAAGAATGACTACCAAACTTGTGACTGTTGCGGACAATCAGGGGCCTAGTTGCTAGATGCAGGTGTCGGATGCTACTACTAAATGCTACTGGTATTAGGTGCTGGTACTATGGCTAGGGCCTGCTACTAGTGTTAGGCGATGCTATTAGTAATACTAGGTGTTGCTGTAAGCAATATTAGGCGGTGCTGTTAGCAATACTAGGCGCTGCTATTAGCAATACTAGGCGCTGCTATTAGCAATACTATACGCTGCTTTTAGCAATACTAGGCGCTGCTATTAGCAATACTATTCGCTATGTTTAGTGATACTAAACGCTGCTACTAGCAATAATAGGCGCTGTTATTAGCAATACTAGGCGCTGCTATTAGCAATGCTAGGCACTGCTATTAGCAATACTAGGCGTTGCTATTAGCAATAATAGACGCTGCTATAAGCAATAATAGGCGCTGCTTCTAGCAATACTAGACGCTGCTATTAGCAATACTAGACGCTGCTATAAGTAATACTAGGTGCTGCTGTTACCAGTAATACTAAGCGCTGCTATTTGTACTAGGTGCTGCTACTAGTACTAGAAGATGCTATTAGTACTAGCTGCTGTTACTAGTAATACTAGGCACTGCCGTTAGCAATAATAGGCGTTGCTACAAGTAGTAATAGGTGCTCGTGTTAGTACTACGTGTTGCTACTAGTACGAGGCACTGCGATTAGTACTAGGCGCTGCTGCTAGGCAAAGCATGCTGTCAGGTGCTGCTAGGTGCTGCCAGAAGCTGCCAGGTGCTGCTAGGTACTGCTAGGTACTGCTAGGTGCTACTACTAGAACCAGTTTGCTGCTAGGTGCTGTTGCTACAGGAAGGGTGAAAACAAAGCGAAGGGAAGCGGTGGGCGAGGAGAAGAGGAAGGCAGCAGGAAAAGGAAAAGAAGCAATTGCAATCAATGTGAAACTTCTTCCTTGCAATGGCTTCTCACACCACCTGCTCATACCCAATCCCACCATAAGCGAGAGGCTCACCTGCCAACAATTCAACTGCCAGAAGGGGGGTGCAGCGTTCTTCTAACTGGGCACCATAGCCAAGAAACCCCGCAAGGAACAAGAGGCACCGGATCACACAGCTATCATCAGCGGCTGATTTGCCATAAAAGAGGGGCAACAGCTCTCAGCACTGACCAAAGGAAGCAAGGCGCTGGCACGCCACCAGCCAACCTAGCCAGCGCGCGTGGCGCCATGGCAATTGGCGGCCGTCTGCGCCCAGGATCCCAGAGTGCCTGGTGCAGCACGCTGCAAGCGAGCGCGCCGCGTTACGGCGGTTGGCGCCAAGGAGGGCGGCACCAGCGTGCTTAGCGCCAGCCAGCGCAGCTCCAGCGTGCCTGCGCCAGTGAGCGCAGCGCCAGCGAGCGGCACCAGCGAGCGGCACCAAGGAGCGCGGCGCCAGCGAGCGGCACCAGCGAGCGCGGTGCCAGCGAGTGCGGCGCCAGGGCCACCTGCCGCGGCAGCGAGCGTGACGCCAGCGCGCATAGCGCCGGCGAGCGCAGCGCCAGCGGGCCTGCTGCACCAGCGAGTGCGGCGCCAACGCGCCTGGCTATGCTAGTGAGCGCAGCGCCAGCAAATGGTGGCACCTGCGCACCTAGTGCCGTGAGCATGGCGCCAGCGCGCCTGGCGCTGCGATTCTAACTGCCACGGCGGCAGCACTGATTCTAACTGATTTCTCTGGATGGCTACCTACGGCCTCAAGAGGAGCAAGATTGGCAAGTGATGGTAGGAGTGGGAGTGTAACAAGACATAGGCGAAATCGTCACTCCCGATTTCGCCAACTGAACTCAATTTGAATTCGAGGTTGAATCCAACCTCGGAACACACCCTTGGGCAATTCGAAGGTTGAACCCAACCTCAAATTGTTCAACCAGT